ACCTGGGGTCCCCACCACCCCTCAGAGGCTCCGGGCGGCTGCCCAGGTGGCAGACTTCCCGTCCGAGGCCTGGGTTTTCGTTTCCACCCTTTCCTGTTCCCACAGCGAACCCCTGAGACATGGATCACCGACACACAGGCCCACAGCGTCCCCGCGCTGGTCCCCAGGCCCCTCCGGCCGCCTCCTCCTCCCGTCACGCCTCGTAAACCGCATTCCCGTGGGCCTGGAGCTCCTCACCCCCGACAGCCGTGCTCGCCGATCGCTCCAGCCCCGGTGCTCCCTGCGTGGCTGTATCTTGGCGTGAGATAAATCACAGTTAACGGTGCGCACGCCTGTAAAACCTGGCTTCTTCCAGATGGAAACAGATGTTTTGCTGTCTTCTGTTTTTTTAAACTTATTTTTTAAAATTTATTTTTCAATTACACGGGACGAGCCACAGCGGCGTGGTTTCCAGGTGGTGCCTGCACTCACGTGGCCCTAACGACGGGCCCTGCGAGTCCCCCTCTGACACTGAGCCCCACACCTCCCATCACCTGACGTGTCCCCTCCCCTCCCCTCCCCTCTCTGGTGAAGGACACGCCCCTGAGCAGGGACCTTGAGAGCCAGGGAAAGAGCACAGTTCACGCCCCCATGACCCAGGACGCTGCCCACAGGGCCGTGCAGAGAGCAGCCCTGGCCGGTGGCCCAATGGTTAGAGCGCTGGCCCGCCCGACGGGGTTTGAGAGTTTGATTCCCGGTCAAGGGCGCATCCTTGGATTGCAGGTTCCATCCTGACCCCAGGTAGGGTACGTGTGGGAGGCAACCAGTCAATGTGTCTCTCTCACACCCATGTTTCTCTCCCCGTCTCCCCCCTCCCTCCCTCCCTCCCTCCCTCCCTTCTACTCTCTCTAAAAGTCAGTGGGAAAATACCCCTGGGTGAGGATTCACAAAACACCGACCACAGACGGTCCTGGGAGTGGAGACACCGCGGGGTGAGGAGAACCGGGTCCTCGCGGGAGGCGGGGCTGAGCGGAGCTGCCGGCTCCCCGCAGGCTTCTCACCGGGTCACGGTCCCCTGGAGCCCTCACGCGGCTGCTGAGCGGAGAGGGTAGTGACCGCGATTCCAGAGGGATGGGGCTGCCTGCCTGTGCGTGGACGTGAGGCCCCGAGAACCCCGGAGGGACGGACGGGGAGACACCGGCCGGATCCACCCTGAGTCGGGCCCCTGGGGCCTCTGGACAGACGGCTCGTGAAGCGAGGTATTGATCCCGGCTCTAAATTTGCGGCTTTGACGGTAAGAGCGATCTGTTGTGAAACAGCCGCACAGGATGAGTGCGTTTGGGTTATTGACCCCCAGACAGATTCCCGGGGGCAGCTCGCAGGGCTGCTCTGTGGAGCCGCTGGGCGGTTTCCGGGATTTACTTTCTTCTTCGGTGGGTTATTCTGGGCGATGGCGGTGCCTGGAGTGGGAGGTCACGGAGAAGGTCCTCTGAGGTCCTCCCAGTGACGACAGCATGAGCCGGCCTTTTTTTGGGGGGGAGTGGGGGTCCCCACTTTGTGTCAGGCACGTCACCAGGGTTTCGCTCACGATTCCTAATGGGATGCACCCGCCTGACGATTCTATGTGTTGGGCATTTGAGGGGTTTTCAACCTGCATTTCTAAAAATATTTTTTTATTGATTTCAGAGAGGAAAGGAGAGAGAGAAGCATCCATGATGAGAGAGAATCATGGATCGGCTGCCTCCTGCATGCCCCCCACTGGGGGTGGAGCCCGCAATCCGGGCCTGTGCCCTGACCGGGAATCGAACCCTGACCTCCAGGTTCATAGGCTGACGCTCCACCACTGAGCCACACCAGCCAGGCTCAGTTCTGTGTTTTTAAAAGCGTGTCGTGAGCGCTTGACTTTACTGCCTCAACTGCCCGCAATGTCTCCAGAGGCAGGAGGTTTACCGTTTCCTCCAGCGCCAGGCACACGCCACGGCCACGAAATGCCTCTTCCCTGATTAGCATTTTTGCTCGACAGCTTTGTTTGCTGTAAAATGTCACCCCGAGAGCTAGAAAGGTCGCCTGTTGGAGGGACAGGTACCTGGCTCGCTGGGGATTTGACAAGCAGGGTGTTTACTCCGGGTGGTCGGACAGGCTTCCTGCTGCTTTTCTCAAAGGCTCCAATGTGGTCGCTTGCAACTTTGTATCTTAGCTTGTCGTTTGCAACTTTGTATCTTAGCTTGTCGTTTGCAACTTTGTATCTTAGCTTGTCGTTTGCAACTTTGTATCTTAGCTTGTCGTTTGCAACTTTGTATCTTAGCTTGTAACCAAGTGACGCTGACCTGGTGGTTTATAAATAACAGACATTTATCTCTCGGGGTCTGGAGGCTGGATGGACATCTGAGATCAGGGTGCCCATGGGGTCGGGACCTGGTGAGAGCTCTGGGTGACGCCACCTTTTTCACGATAAGCACCTTCCCAACCACATGGGATCGCAAAAGCTAATGCCTCTCAGCGAATACAGGGACTTCCAGAGTTTTCCTCACACGTGTGTGTCATGCTTACCTGTGTACATGTGAACACAGACCTGCTATGATGTGGAGATGGATATAGCGACAGAGATGAAGCTATAGAATGGATACATAGACGCGGACATATTTTCCCTGTGGGGCTTTTACATTGTTTCCCATGTTTGCAGAGGTCACTAGGGATGCACATGTATGTGCACGTGTGTACACACGCACACATGTGCACACCCACCTACACAGATGTGCACACATGCATACACTTGTGACACATGGACACAGGTGAACACGTGCCTGCATGGCGCACGCACATGAACACACTCATGTGCACACACACGTGCACACATGCCTGCCTGCTCACACGCACACACAGTCACTGGAGTTGCGAGTCCAGAAATTCCCGTGAGACACGGCAGCCGCGGTTCTCTCCGTGCGATGCCGTGTGTCCCACGGGCGGCTCTGCTCCTGCGGACACTCTCGGTCACTGCGACGAAGGACGCGCTTTATCTCTCCCTGCGACTCGGTGACATCACAGCACAGACGTGGCTGTTAGGCCGTGGCTTGTGCCGCGTCCGCAGCTGCAGCAGGACAGCCAGGCGTTCAGCCCGGCGGGCGGGGAGCCGCTCAGAAGCGAGGACTCCCCGCAGTGAGCCGCGTGGCAGTAACTCCCCGCCCGCCCGCGGAGAGCGGCTGCGGCATCATTTCATTCTAAACACGGTGCCCGCCGGGAGACGAGGCCCTAAGTACCAAATATACGGCGGCAATAGAAGCGGAACGGCGCCGGGTAAATCAAGGCGAGGCCCACGCCCCCGCTGCCTGGTGACGGGCCTGCAGGGGCGTCAGGACGCGGTAAACGGGTCCGCCCGGGGGTGATTTCCTCCGGAATTGGGCTCATAACTCCTGTCGCTGAGCTGCCGCGGCCTCCCAGCTCCGTCTGCGTTTCTAACGGAGGCAGGACCGCGAGCAGCGGGGACAACACGCGGGCTCCTGGGGGTGCCAGGCCCGGCCCCCTCGACGCCTGCACCCCCTCCGCACACACCCCAACCCCTCCACCGCCCCCCGCTGCGTCTCGCGTGAGGGTTTTCAGGCAGCTGCCCCGTCTCACCCATCGACACCCACGGGGACTGGGCATTCCCCCCACAGGGCCCAGCGGGTCTCCCCTCCGCGTTCCCTGCGTCCGGCCCGTCCGGCCCGCGTTGTGCAGGTGGCGTGTTGCTGTCGCACAGGTTGGTATTCGAGCCTCCCGCCCCCTCAGCGTGACGTTTTCAGATCCTCCCAACGCTGTCCCACGTCATAACCGACCTGGGCCCTCCCTCGCCATTGCACTAATTCTACCCCATGACGCACCACCTTTCAGAATCCACCCACCGCTGGACGGACGCCTAGGCTGCTTTCAGCGGCCGCCTATTTAAAGGGGCAGCGATGGCCCGCCGGCGGGGCTCAGGGGTTGAGCATCGGCCTAGGAGCCAGGAGGTCAGGGCTCAGTTCCCGGTCGGGGCACAGGCCCGGGTTGTGGGCTCGATCCCCAGCGTGGGGTGTGCAGGAGGCAGCCGGTCCATGATTCTCTCTCATCGTGGATGTTTCTCTCTCCCTCTCCCTTCCTCTCTGAGATCAATAAAACATATTTATAAACTAATAAAAATGCAGCGACAAACACGCTTGCTCACTCCCCACATCTGGGGTGAAGCCTTTACCAGAGGCGATGCCCCCAGACCTGGGACCTCAGGGTCACGTGCAGGCACGTGTGTGATGCGTCGGCCAGGTGCCTACGGACACAGCTCCATGGGGAGCGAGCGGCTCCCGGTCCCTCACCCCCCCCACCCCAGCGAGGTGGAAGCGTTAGGCTTCCTGAACCTCATACGCGGCCCTTCCCTCTGCGGGAGAACCATTCAGACGCAACGTCACGCGTTACAATCCACGAAAGCATCTTTTTTAAAAAATACATTTGTACTGATTTCAGAGAGGAAGGGAGAGGGAGAGAGAGAAACATCAGTGATGAGAGAATCCTGGACCGGCTGCCTCCTGCACGCCCCCCACTGGGGATGGAGCCCACAACCCGGGCCTGTGCCCTTGACCAGGAATCGAACCCTGACCCCCTGGTTCCTCTGAGCCTTGCTGGCCCCCACACTCCGGATCCCGCTCACAGTTATGAGCTCCACACCCCGGTCTCTGCCGAGCCACCAGCCCGGCCTCAGGGGCCACCGCCTGCCGTCTGCCTCCCACGGTCGCCCCTCCCAGCTCCACACGGACCCACGTTCACGAGGGGGGTTTTCAGAAACACTGAGCCAACGCAGGCAGAACACCAACCACAGAAATCCACGCCCCCCCCCCCTTCCCGGGAGCCCGGTCTCCCACTGACCTGCTGGGCTTAGGCGGGTCCCAGCGGTGAGAAGGCTCGGCCCACCGTCCCTCCGTCTTACCTGGCAGCGTCCCCAAGACGGCGACACCCACCGAGGACCCACGTGGACCTGGGGCGGGGAAGCCCCTTCGAGCACAGTGAGGGGGACTCACCCGGGTGCTGGGCCGGGGGACTTCCGGCGGCAGACGATGACGGCGGGGGCCGCCTTGCCGGCCCGGTCCATGCTCGCCTGGACCTCCCAGACGGCCGGGCTGCTGGCTCTGACCGCGGCGATGCGCACGCCCCTCTTCACCTTGACCCTGCGGGGGGAGACGGGAGGTTCGGCTGAGCCCGCTGGGAGCCCGGGCGGGCGCTGGTTCCGCGGAAACATTGTTACCCGGCAGGTGATACAATGTAACCCGTTTGATACAATGTAACCTGTTTGATACAATGTAACCCGTTTGATACAATGTAACCTGTTTGATACAATGTAACCACCTCCCAGCGCATCTTCCCCATCCCCCCGCCTTTTCCTACTTTTCACGGAGGAGCTAGGACAGCACGTGACCCGAACAAGTGCCACGGACGCAGACGCGCAGGCGTGCGCTAGCGGGAGGGCTTGCGTGTTTGTTTGTTTTTAAAAAAACACATTAACACCTGGAAAGCCCGGACTGTTAAGACCAAATAGAAAAGGGGAAATGACTTAAACATGTGCAAGTGCAGCCCTAGCCGTGTGGCTCCGTGGATAGAGCATCGGCCTGCAGACCGCAGGGCCCCGGGTTCGATCCCGGTCCAGGGCACATGCCCGGGTTGCAGGCTCCTCCCCGGCCCAGGCCCTGGTCTGGGCTTGCGCAGGAGGCAATCCATCGATGTGTTTCTCTCACATCAGTGTTTCTGTCTTTCCCTCTCTCTTCGACTTTCTCTAAAAATCAAGGGAAAAATATCCTCGGATGAAAATTAAAAAAGAAAAAAGAACGCAGCTGCTGCTTTAGCCCGTGAGGGGCCGAGCGTGTGTTGGGGTTAATCCCGTGGCCGCTGTGTGACTCGGGGCGCGAACCTCTGGGTTTAGGGGGCACCGGATGCTCAAAGGCTCCGGACGGAACCGCTACAATGTATCACCAATGAGATACAGTCACTCGAACCCGGCTCCTGGGTCCCGCCCGCTCGCAGGGCCTGACGCCGCGGACACGGGCGGCCCCGTCGGACCGCAGGGCCCGCAAGGCGCCGTCTCCGGAGGTTTCTGCGCTGGCGGCGCTGGGGAGTGACTGTCGCGGAGTCTGCCCCCCGGGGCATTTTAAAGTTGACATTTAAAACCCTTCCTTCCTCCCGCCCGAGAGGCAAAGGTGGAGTTTCCGGCTCACTGTAACTATTGACATTTTAAAATTAAACTGTTACATCGCGCTTCTAAGAGTTTCGCCGGAATCTAAATACCAGGGCGGGCTTGCCACCCTCCGCGATGCGTCCTTAAAACATTCAGAGACAACCTCTTCTTCTCCAGACGCGGAGTGAATGTTCATTCATTTATTCATTTATTTTTCGCTGTTGGCTTGCAGACCCGCTCTATGCCTGTCTCAGAATCCTACCCCCGTGCAGCCTATTTCTGTGTCCGACAGTCCTTATCGATCACTCCGCCACACTTGTCTGCAGCAAAGACACGCACACAATTCGAATTTAGCTTTCCCTGGGCCCAGAAGTCTCTACGTGCAATTTTATTTTTTTAATATTTTTAATCTTTTTTTCAGAGAGGTAGGGAGAGGGAGAGAGAGATAGAAACATCAGTGATGAGAGAGAACCATGGACCGGCTGCCTCCTGCAGGCCCCACACTGGGGATCGAACCGCAACCCAGGCCTGTGCCCTGACCGGGAATCGAACTGTGACCTCCTGGTTCCTAAGTCGATGCTCAACCCCTGAGCCACGCCAGCCGGGCTCTAAGTGTGATTTAAACAATTCTAGATCGAGACTCATTGAAAGTATTTTCGGTGCACACTTCAGCAAACATGGCTGTGTTTGCATAAACATACACCTTTTAAAGAATAATGAGTCAGCCTTAACGCAGGGCGAGGCGCTCAGAAATGCATTGACCAACGACAGGAACCGGGTACAGTCAGGACAGCCTTGGGCTAAGCCCGCAGGTCGTATGAGGCCTGAGAAACCGTTTGGTCTGGCCCTGCCGAGGCATTCGGGGTGAGCTCATTAAATGTTTGGCCAAATAGAGCAGGCTCGTTTGTTTTTAAATATATTTTTATTGATGTCAGAGATAAAGAGAGAGAGAGAGAAACATCCATGATGAGAGAGAACCATGGACCGGCTGCCTCCTGCACGCCCCCCACTGGGGATGGAGCCTGCAACCTGGGCCTGGGCCCTCACCGGGAATCGAACCCTGACCTCCTGGTTCCTAGGTCGTTGCTCAAGCGCTGAGCCGCACCGGCCGGCCAACATGCACCTGTGAACACGGCACCTACAAGCAACAAGTGTCTTGCGTTGCACGCGGGGCCCCCGGAGACTCGATGTCTGTGCGGGGCTGTCCCTGCCAATGGGGCCGTGTGGCCTAATTACCCACGGGCGCCCGCAGCCAGTCCGCCGCGCCCGGCTCTTTCCCCGAAGTGCCCCGTTCCCCGGGCGCCGTCTGTCTCGGGGGACTCCCCCCTCCCCCGCTCATTTATGTGATTTTTTTAACTTCAGCCAAATTGCCTTCATCTAAACCCAATTAACTTGGTGAAAAGCAAGGCATCGCCGTGATCCCACTCGCTGAGCTGCGTTCTCTCCATGTCCCGCCGCCGGCTCCCGGGGCGGGTGTGTGAGCATGAGGCCGCGGGCACCAGCTCAGCGGGCTCCACCCGCAGGTGGTGAGGAGACCGCACAACCCTCTCTCTGACGCCGGCGGAGTTTCAGTCCTGCTTCTCTCCCTCATTTAAACGCCGTCAGGGATGTTGCTAAAGGACGTCCCACTTTACACCCGAGTGCACGGCCTCAGGGGAGAGGGACGCATTGGATACAAAAACCTGGCCTCGCCCTGGCCGTGTGGCTCAGTGGGCAGAGCGTCGGTCCACGGGCTGAAGGGTCCCCGGGTTCAATTCCCGGTCAGGGCACAGGCCCGGGGTGTGGGCTCGATCCCCAGTGGGGGGCGTGTAGGAGGCAGCCGATCCATGATGCTCTCTCGTCATTGATGTTTCTCTCTCCCTCTCCCTTCCTCTCTGAAATCAATAAAAATATATTAGAAAAAAAGCACCTGGCTTCCCTCTAGAAAGGCCCCTGGAATGAGCTGTATTCCACTCCCGCCCTGAAATAGCGCAAGGCCACCCGCTCCCAGTCCCTCTCGCCCATCCAAACCGACTTCCCCTTTTGTCCCCAGACCAGTGGCTGGGGTCGCCTTTCACTTCAAGCTCATTCTTTCCAGCTCACCAAGGAGCCCTCAGCCTGCGGGCCGCCCCCAGCACCGGGCGCCCGCCCCCGCTCCGGCTGCCGGGGACCCGCGCCTGCTCCGTCTGGACCGTTACTGTCACAGCTCTGCTCCCTCCACGGCCCCGACTCCTGCCCCTCCCGTCTACTCTCCACAGAAGCCCGACCATCCCCCCTAAACACGCCGGGCTGGCCCTGCCCAGTGCTCGGTCTGCGCCGCCAGGAGCCAGGCCGCGAGGCGCTGGGAGAGTTTAGGAAATTGCACTGCACCCTTGCGCTGCCGTGGAGCCCGGGGCGGGGGTGGGGGGGGGTGGGGGGACAGCCCGAGAGGAGCCCTCCCCACAGCTCAGCCCGGCCCTGTATCCGCCCCGCAGTGTTCCCCGATGCACAGACATTATGGGTCCACCCCCTGGGGGTATTCTGAAACCAGGACAATCCAAAGTTTTCAGGAGACGTGACCAGGAACCGAACCGTGACCTCCTGGCTATAGGTCGACGCTCAACCGCTGAGCCACGCGGGCCGGGCCTGGGTGAGCTTTTAAACCCACGTGGAAACCACGTCGGGTCCCGCTTCCCGGGGTCAGGACACAGATGTCACCCCGCGGCCCCGGGGCCCCGTCAGGACGTGCTCCGTGACCCCAACGCCCGCGCCAGATGGCGGCCCATCCGACTCGGCCGGCGCCACGGGCAAACGTTCAGCGGAACCTAAGGAGCCGAGGCGGCGCGTCTCCCGCCTTCTGCGTTCCAGAGAGGGTCGCGCACACGCTTCCCCCTAAAGGACACGCCCGCCTTCCCGCCCGCGTCTGGCTGGCGCTCAGGCCGGTCCCGCGCGTCGGCTGCAGGCTCCTCGCACGTTTTGCTTTTTCTCTCGTGAACGCCCAGCGTTGCTTCCAGAGACAAACAGGCGGCTGTCCCCCTCCCCCCTCCTCCCCTCCCCCCCCCCCCCCCCCCCCGCGTCCTCCCGGCTCTCAGGCTGGACGGACGCCATCCGCCCCAGGCCGGGCCCACCCGCCTGCCACTTACTTATTTTTTAATTTTTTATTCGATATTCCCTGTTGTTAATCCTCACCTGAGGATATTTTTCCTTGGATTTTAGGGAGAGGAAGGGAGAGGCAGAGAAACGTCGATGTGAGACAGGCCCAGCGACGGGTCGCCTCCTGCACTCGCCCCAACCAGGGCCCGGGCCGAGGAGGAGCCTGCAACCCAGGTGGGTGCCCTTGACCGGAATCGAACCCAGGACCCTTGGGCCCGCAGGCCGATGCTCTATCCACTGAGCCACTCCGGCCAGGGCCACCTGCCAGCCACTTAACTCCAACTGTCAAGGGGCCGGGCTGGGCCACATTAGCCTGGGGGTGCCTGACACGTGCCCAGGGCACCCCCCCGCCCAGCTACGCAAAAGGCCTCACCTGGGTGCCCCGGGCTGCTCCGTGACAGCCTAGACCCGTGGTCGGCAAACCTCGGCTCGCGAGCCACATGCGGCTCTTTGGCCCCTTGAGTGTGGCTCTTCCACAAAATAGCACGTGGGGGCGCGCACGTCCAGTGCGATTGAAGCTTCGTGGTCCGTGCGCAGAAGTCGGTGTTTTGTGGAAGAGCCACACTCAAGGGGCCAAAGAGCCGCACGTGGCTCGCGAGCCGAGGTTTGCCGACCACGGGCCTAGACCATGGGTGGGTCAGGCACCTCCACCGCCAAAGGGACACCCGCTCAGATCAAACAGCCTGACTTTGCAGGGAAAACGGGGAGCCCGGTGCACACAGCTCCCCCAACCGCCTTGGCGGGGGCGCCTCAGAAGCCACCTGTCCCCCCAGCGCACTCACCTCAGGGTGAACCGGTCCCACGTGCAGTTGCTGGAGACGGAGACGGGGAAGGTGAGCACGTCGCCCGGCCGCGCCCTGCGGGGCGGGTAGTGGACGGCCACCTGGTCATCCAAGCGCAGCTCCCGCAGCGGCGGCGGGCGGGGCGTGGGGCTGAGGAACACGCTGCCGATCCTCCGCAGGGGCGGCCCCGCCTCGTCCCCGTCGCCCGGGCCCGTGTGCCCCCCGCCGCCGGCCCCCGGCTCCGCCCGGACGCAGTTGCCCCCGTCCCCGGGGCGCAGGTCCCCGGGGTGCACGGTGTAGTACAGCTCCACGGGGCTCCCCTCGGCCGGGCCCGCGGGCCGCCGCCTCCCGGCCACCACGGCGGGGGCGCTGAACCAGGCGGGCGGCAGCCGCAGCTCGGCCACGCACAGCCCCAGCGCGCCCCGCAGCCGGCAGCCGGCCCGGACCTCGCGCGTCTCCCGGAAGGCGAACACCCGCAGGCAGGGCAGCGGCTCCGCGGGGCCCGGCTCGGCCCAGTCCCGGCCCAGCACGTGGAACAGGACCTGCGCGACGGGCCGGCCCGGGTCGATCTGGTCCCGCAGGATGTGGGCCCGCAGCTTCCAGCCCAGGGGGGGCGCGCCCGGAGGGCCAGGGGGGCCGGCGGGCAGCAGCAGGTCTCGGGGCACCGCCTGCTGCGCAGAGAAGGGCCCGTAGCGGGCGCGGAGCACGGGCGGCCGCCGGGCGCGCAGGACCAGGAAGGACTCCACACGGGCCTGCAGGCTGGCGTTGCGCATCACGTCCTGGTTGGCCTCCCGCAGGAAGAAGGCGGCGTCGGCGTCCACGCGGAAGCTCACGGGCAGGTAGGTGGGCAGCAGGGAGAAGCGCGGGGTGCTGTCCAGGAGGCCGCGGCCCTCGGTCACTGCAGGGAACGCAGGGCATTAGAGGGGGCAGCCGCGTCCCACGTTGTACCCCAGACCTCCGCCCCCCACGCTGTACCCCGAACCGGCTGTGGGTCACCGTCCCCCAGGCATGGTATGTGGTCCTGTAGTAATGTTGTGATTTCCGAAAGTCGCACGTTGTTACAAAGTTGCACTGTTGTTGCAAAGTTGCATCGTTGTTACAAAGGTATAATGTTGTTACAAAGTTGCGATGTTGTAGCATCGCCCGTGGCAACGCCATGCTGTAGCGATGCTGTAATGCTGTCGTGTCTAACGCTGTCACGTCTAATGTCTTAGGGCCACGCATCACTGCTCTCTGCAGGCTCAGCCTCTGGAGGGCGATGCATCGGCTAGAACCACCCGGGTGCTCACCTGGGCAGGTGAGCTTCCCCCACCCTCTCCCCCTGCGGAACCAGGGACAACTGGGCCAACCTCGGTGGCTTCCATCGTGACTGCAAGAAGCCCTCCGCGATAACCATGGGGAACTGGGATGGAAAGGGGGTTTATGACTTATGGGCCCTGCAGCACGCGGGCCAGGTTCTGCTCTTCTTGGGGTCGAGGGTGGGAGCCGGGGTTTCGGGCTCACTGTTCGTGCATCTAAGACGTCGGGGGCAGTTGAAAGCACAGGAAGAGAAAACACGTGCCCCAGCGGTCAGTGAGAGACATGAACACGCCCGGCCGCGGGGCTCAGCGGTTCAGCGTCGACCCAGGAACCAGGAGGTCAGGGTTCGATTCCCCGTCAGGGCACAGGCCCGGGTGGCAGGCTCGATCCCCAGTGGGGAGCGTGCAGGAGGCAGGCGGTCCATGATTCTCTCTCATCATGGATGTTTCTCTCTCCCCCTCTCCCTCTCCCTTCCTCTCTGAAACCAATAAAATAGATAGATAGATAGATAGATAGATAGAGATATAGGTAATTTCATTCTACTTATTAAATCCCAAGATGGCCTTCGCCCAGCAAAAGGGCACCTGTGGTTACGAAGAGGAACTTCTAAGAGGAACCCCATCCCCCAAACTTGGGTCCTGGGACGCCCAGGGAGATGGTGGCAGAGTGTCACCCCGTGGGCCTTTCTGCCGCTTCTATTTTCAAAAGCCCTCCTACTGCCCACGGCAGCTGTTGCCAACCGAAGGCCCGTGAGCCAGTTCTGGCTCCAAAGCCTGTTTTACTGTGTCCACTCTGCGCCATTATTTAAAATCCTAATTAGGTCTTCATGCCAATATTTATCAGACAGATTTCACACGAAAAGCTGGACTCGGGGCTTTTCTTCCACACGTTGCAGGATGTGAGACATCTGTGAGCCCATCGCCATATTGTGACCAGCCACGGAGCTGTGCCCTTGGGGTGGGGGTGAGGGGTGGGGGCGGGGACTCACTCCTTGGCCGCAGTCCCCCCCCAGCCCTTATGCCTGGTTTACATCATGTGCTTCCTCTGCAGGCACTGGCTCATCTCTAGGCTGTAGGGGTTGTTCACAGAGTAGAGATTTTAGAACAATCACTGTGGCTCGGGCCGGCGTGGCTCCGTGGTTGAGCGTCAGTCAGCCTACGAACCAGGAGGCCAGGGTTCGATTCCCGGTCAGGGCACAGGCCCGGGTTGCGGGCTCGATCCCCAGTGCGGGGCGTGCAGGAGGCAGCTGATCCATGATTCATTCTCTCTCTCTCTCTCTCTCTCTCTCTCTCTCTCTCTCTCTCTCTCTCCCTCTCCCCCTCTCTGACATCAATAAAAACATATTTAATTTAGAAAGTGACATTTTAAGAAAACAACCCGTCACCCCCGATAACCTCCGAGGGCTGCCCATCAGGGGACAACGTCGGCGGCATTTCTACGGCCAATAATGCACTGTATTGATTGGCTATTACAGAACAAGCTAAGAAGATTAAATGACTCCTGTATTCATTTAAAAGAAAAATCTTACTTAAAAGGTCTCAGCTATACTATTCCACCCAGGGGCCAGGGGGATCAATGAAATCAGAGATCTCCATGCTAATCCTAAGTGGCCACATTAGTCCTCGCTGAGGAATAAATGGAATTAAAATAACTATTGTCTGTATTGTCTGCCTTTGGGGCCCGTCTTCCACCAAAGGCTTCGAGGGAGCGGGATCCTTTGCAGGAGAAAAGACGAGGGAAACGGAGAGGAGCCGGGGGGCGGGGGGGACGGGGAGAGGAGAGAGCCGTGTCCACGTGATTGCAGCAACATACGCCCCCCATTCCATACGCCGCCTTATACTTAAGGGGCCGGAGGTTACAGCAAAGGGAAAGCCCGACACACTAGCCAAAGGTGGAAACACGCGAGAGGCAGGATAAACTGTGACGCTGCGTCCACTGGAGTCAGAGAGGGCAGAGGCCACGCTGACCTGACAAGCTCGGGGGAGGCCTGCCGGGCGGCCTCGCAAACTCAGACCTAAGTCACCACAAGGGACGGTCTGAGATGAAAAGCTTTTCCTTGAGAAGCCGTTTATGGTGGGTGGTCACGTCCTAGGCCGGTATCTTCCCCGACAAAGGCCCAGCTTTGCCTTAACTGAGCCCACTGCCTCTTTGCGTCCACGACAGCGGTTCTCAACCTCCCTGATGCCGCGGCCCTTTCACGCAGCCCCTCATGTGGTGGGGACCCCCAACCATAACATTATCTTCGTGGCTACTTCATCACTGTCACATTGCTGCTGTTATGAATCGTCGTGGAAATATCTGATACGCAGGATGTATTTCCATTGTGACAAATTGAACATAATTAGAGCCTAGTGATGAATCACAAAAGCAATACGTAATTATAGATGTGTTTTCCGATGGGCTTAGGCGACCCCTGTGAAAGGGTCGTTCGACGCCCAAAGGGGTCGCGACCCACAGGTTGAGAACCGCTGCTCTACGATAACATATCGTTTGAATGTGACAGTCATTCTCCTTCCCCCCTCCCCCCCACCCCCGGACCCCTCGCCGCCCAGGCCCCGCTCTGCTCCCCGGAGACCACACATCCCCTCCTTGTCACTGAGCTCACTGTGGACTGTTCACCATCCTGCGCCCTCCTGAGTGGAAGAAGCAGGTGTCTATCATTTTACTTTTCATCCAATCCCAGAGGCCTCCCCCCACCCCCGCCCCCTGTGCTTCTCCCGCCTCCCTCAGCCATCGCCGATGGGTCCATGTGACCCACTTACATCTCCTCTTTTGACTGTGATGCATAAAACAAGGTAAAAAACAAGCAAACAAAAGGCGTTCTCCGGAGCATTCTCCCAGTCCTTGGAGATTCTGCCTCCCAGCAATTGTCGGCAGTTTGGCTCAAATAAACTCACAGGAATTCCTTACAGGTTTGGTGTGCTCTTCACGTTCACACCGGAAACGGGCCTCGCGCCGCCCGCCTTCAGTAACTCGGCGAGACGAGCCGTCTCCCTCACTCATTTTTTACTTTTTTGGTTAATCGTCACCAAAGGATACTTCGTCCCTTGCTTTTCAGGGAGAGTGGAGGCCGGGAGGGGGAGGAGAGGGGCCTGAGTGATAGATTACACATCAGGCGCCTTCACCAGGCCCTGGGGATTCGAATGAAGACAGAAGGTGTCGCCTGAAGGTGGCGTCTCCTCCTTCCTGGTGACGGCGTCCGTTCCCATCCGAGCAGCGGCCGGCGTGTCCATCACTCAGGTCAGCACTGGCCTCGCCGCCTCCAGGGGCCGGCCCTTCATTGCTGGGGAGAGACACGCCGATTGGTTGCCTCCCACAGGCACCAAGACGGGGGCCTGGGACGGAACCTGCAACCCGGGAACATACCCTTGGCCTCGAATCGAACCCGAGACCCTTCAGGGCACGCCCATGCTCTAACCATTGAGTAACACCAGCCAGGGCTGATTTCACTTGCTTTTAAAACCAGTCCCGTCCTGTGGGGGTGAGGGGTGGCTTGTCAGGAGCCAGGCCAGGAATTGGGGGGGGGGGGGGGTATCAGGAGCCTGAGGAGGAACAAAGCCGACAAGCCCTGGCCCTGGGCGGCGGGGGGGGGGGGGGGGGCTGGAGACGGGAAGATGCCATCAGGTTTGAAAGCCGGGAAGGAGAGCGGGCCTGGGCGGGAGCTGCCAGGTGTGGGGGTGGGCGGGCGCTTTGTGGTGCTGAACAAAGAATGTTCCATTTTCTCTCTCGATACAGAAGCGCTGTTTTGTGTGTTGTCACAGGCACGTAAGCCCCGGTTGCCGGGAGCAGAGAGAGCACGGTGTTCAGTCCTTCAGTGAAGGGCACCCAGGTGCGGCGGGCAGATGCTCTGTGCCCCACGGGAGCAGCTGGGGGGGGGGGGTTGGGGGGGGCTATATTGAAGGGAATGGGGCGATGCAAACTAGGGGAGGGGGGGAGTATTTTAACTCACGCTGGACCTGCCCCTGTAAGACTTTTTTTCTGTCTTTCTTTTTGGTTAATCTTCACTCGGGGATGGTCTTCCACTGGTTTTGAGGGGGAGTGGGAGGGAGAGAGGGACAGAGAGAAACATCGATGGGAGAGAGACACGCTGATTGGTTGCCTCCTGCACGCGCCCCGCCCAGGGCCCGGCCGGGAACCTGCCACCCAGGTACGTGCCCTTGACCAGAATCGAACCCGGATCCTTCAGCGAGTGCCCAAGAGGCTGAATATTGAAAACGTCGCAAAATGCAAGAGCCGGACAGTCCCCTCCAAACGTCCAGGCCCTTCAGGGCCAACAGCTCTGCGTTATTAGATCCGGAAACAAAGCAGCTGGACCCCCGTCCCCCGGCGGAACCCGAGTGGTTAAGGGGGAGGCGGCGGGGTGCACGGGCCCTCCACACGGCCCCTCAATCACAGATGCCGGTAACACCTCCAGACCGAACCCGGGCTCCCGCCAATCAGGAGGCACCTTTACTTAAACAATTTCAAATCGTTTGAAATGCTTTCTTTTCCTGAAAAAATAAAATAAAATAAAATAAAGGTAGGCGGACAACTTAATTGAAAAAAGACGGACGGCCCATAGCCGATCGCATGAAATCCCGCGAGTCCTGGAACGACACA